AAGATAGGCCGTGGACTAGGGGTAACCCTGTAGCTAAATGATAGGCTACAAGCCTGGTAACTTTGTTGGTGTTTTCCCAGAGCTTTACTATCACTGGGTAATATGTGGCTTGTGGGGGGATGGCTGCTGTAGGTATATAGGGGTCAGAGCTCTCGGCTGATGTCCATATGATCTTGCAGGTGCTCTCAGTCTCCCAGCACTTTTCTGCAGACACTTGAGGGAGACTTCCGGGCTCATCTGAGACCAGAATGCCAAGCACCTCTGTCGCGATCACTACCTTAGAGTGACAGCCCTGGCACCACCAGGTTGGACCCACTGCCCATAGGAAACGGGTCTTCTCCAGCCCTAGAAGGCAATAACAGCAGACCGTTAAAGGTTCTGCCGCTGTCAAGTCGTTGGGGCGCTGAACCTGCATGGTGACTTTTGTGACTTTGGTTTAAAACTTATTCCCTTAACTACTTTTTAGAGTAAGGTTTTGTTAAACTGATAAAGGGTGATTCTACCCTGTCGTCTGGTGATCCCACAATAGGTGCAGGTAATGAATTTCTCCCACTCTTCCAATTGGTTTATTTGTTGGGTTGTTATTACTGTTTTCCAATCACAGTACCCAGGTAGCATTAACCCTGAGGTGGTAGAGATTCCGTATTCCCTATATGTAACTCTGATGGATCTTTCCTGCCCTCTAGTTTCTGTTATCTTGATCTTGCATACATCACCACAAGGTGTTTCTTTAATCCTCTTGATCTGCTGATAATCGTAAACTTCCTCTTTGCAGTGGCAGAAGATGATCTCTCCAGTTTTTGTTGTTACTACGATTTTGTCCGGGACTGTGAAAGCGAACGCCCAGTTGCTGTAGACGGTCGCTGCGATCAGGATGTAGAACAGCATCTGCATTCTGCTCCTCATGCCTTCTAAAAAGAGAATACATGTAATATAACGTGGCAAGGCAGTAATAATGAAATCAAGGTCTGTTTTACTCTCGGTCCTCATCGTGTTTTCGAAACACTCAACTTCGTATTGCTGGGCCTATACAGGCCGTCAGCTATCCATTGAGCCTTTCCCAAACCGATGATACCTCGAGTTTACAGGATTCAAAAGTAAAATTAAACACAAAAAGAGAAGGAAAAAAAACATTTTAACACTAAATCAATCAATCGGAATTAATAATAATAAAAATAGCGTGAGCGGGGAGGGGTTAAGCTGTTGTTGGTTACTTGATTATGCTTGTTCCTTCATCTTTGGATTGGCTTTTCCTTTCACCCTCCTGAGATTCTGTGGCCTTCGCTACCCTCCAGTTTAGGGGGAGCTGGATCAGGTCTTGGCTTAAAGATAGCGGCATAGGTCATCATCCATACCACTATAGGCACTGGGGTGCAGAGGCTGGCCCAATAGGCCACTGCACATATTCCCCAGACCAGACTCCATCCAATTAAGATGGCTAATTTTAAGATCCATTTACTTCTGTTCTGTAGTTGCAGGGATACTATCTGATATAGCATATTTGCCAACACGGTGACGGCTACCGTCCCTTTGACTATAGTTGCTACTATTCTCCCTGCGGTTCCTCCGCAGCTTGTGACTGGTATTGGCAAGGGAGGAAGTGCTGCCACACACTCAAGACCTATCACTATGGAATCTTCTATCAGCCATGCTGAAATTATGATCTTTTGCAGATAGGTGAGTTTGATTCTTCCTAACAGATAGGTGACAAAGAAATGAGGTGATATCTCAGGTCTTCTGAGTATCACGTGTGATACGATCACTCTAGCGTACGTCTGGACTGCTACTGGAAATCTTATCAATCGTTCCTTACTCCAGTCTCCTTTGTGGCAGTAGCACATCCATGCGACCATCGTTAAAAAGTATTCTATATTGCTCCCATTAAAATAGGCTGGACATTCTGACCAAATGGTAAGATTGGAGGTTACGGTAACTTCTGTCTCCCAATCCATAATACTCACATCGGTTGTTGGTGTACAAGACTTGCAGTCGTCTTGGTTGTCCATAAGAATTATGAATTGCTCCTGTCCTGATCCTCGCTCTTTGCTGCCCCCGGGGTAAGAGTGAAGCCGCTTCCCTGTCTGTCTAATTTAAAGCTGAGCCGCACCCTGCTCTGGTGGGGGTGGCCTATTGCCCCTCCTCCATGGGCGGCACCCAGCTCTGAGGCATTCCTGCAAGAATACACGTCCTAATAAGGCAACAGCTATCACTCCGACCAGGCTTAACAAATAAGGCCATATCTTAAGGAAGATACTAACTATATATGTGTATGTATATATATGTATACGTATATGTGTATATATATGTATACGTGTATGTATTTATATATGTATACATATATGTATATATATGTATACGTATATGTATATATACGTATATGTATATATACGTATATGTATATATACGTATACGTATATATACTTATACGTATATGTATACGTATATGTACGTATATGTATACGTATATGTAC